GGCGAACAAAGTAAACAAACATTTTTTTTTTTTTTTTTTGCAGGGGCGCTGGATGGTCTCCCCCAGATTTCTTTTATTTCCTTTTTGAATGGCTATTCTTGCAACATTTTTAAAAGTACGACCAAACCTATAAAAGTGTAATTTAGGAAAAAAAAAAAAAAAAAAAAAACGCGGGACAATTCAGGAGAAAAAATCGTGGGAGTGTGGCCTTTTGGGGTGGGAGGGCAGCTGGCAGACCTTGAGGGGGCAATCGGAATCAAGCCCCCCTCTCCCCCAGCCCACCCAAATAACGTCCTGCTCCTTTCCTTCCTTCTCACCCTTCTCCCTGCCCATCCCTCCTCCCTGCCCATCCCTCCCTCTCCTCCCTTCCCATCCCACCTCCTCCCTACCCATCCCTCCCTCCTCCCTACCCTCCCCCTCCCTACCCTCCCCCCTCCCTGCCCACCCTCCATCCTTCCTCCTCCCTCCTCCCTACCCACCCTCCTCCTTTCCCATCTCCTCCCTTCCCATCCCCCTCCCCTCCCTACCCACCCTCCTCCTACCCTCCCTCCTCCCTACCCACCCTCCTCCCTTCCATCCTTCCCTCCTCCCTACCCACCCTCCTCCCTTCCATCCCTCCTCCTCTCCCTACCCTCCCTCCTCCTTTCCATCCCTCCCTCCTCCTTACCCACCCTCCTCCTTCCCATCCCTCCCCCTCCCTACCCACCCTCCCTCCTCCCTACCCTCCCTCCCTCCCTACCCTCCCTCCTCCCTACCCACCCTCCCTCCTCCCTACCCCCCTCCTCCTCCGTACCACCCTCTCCCTTCCCATTCCTCCATGCACCGACTGCATAAAAAAATAGTCGATGTTTCAGCGCCATAAAGTGCAGGCGTATTGAAAAGACCTTGACTTCTAAAGCTACGATTGCTGGCTAAAATCACCCATAGAAATACGTGATAGAAATAATCCGCAATGCCATACACTTATAGACCGAAATGTATGCATGGGATAATTTTTTAAAAAGACATGAAGCTAGTTTTATGCAGTTATTGCCTAGTATCGTTATAATTACGATTGTATTATGATTTTGATTTTTTATTATCATTATCATCATTACTACTGTGGATATGACATTATCATCATTATTATGGTAATGATATTGATAATGATGGTAACAATAATGATGACAACAGCAGTAGTAATAGTAATTATATAATTATGATAATGATAATAATGATCATAATGATAATGATCATGTATAATAATAATAATAATGATAATAAATAATAATGATAATAATAATAATATAATATATAATATATAATAATATATATAATGTAATAATAATAATATAATGATATAATAACAATAATAATAGTAATGATAATGATAACAATATGATAGTCATAATGAAAGACAAAGATAATAATTGTTGATAGTACTGGTAATGATAATAACAACAACAATATAATATGATGATGATACTAATACCAACATTAATAATAATACTAATACAAATTTTAATACTAATACTGATACAAATAATGATGATGATAATAATAATGATAATAATTATAAAAAAGAAAATAACAACAATCATGATAATAATTATAAAAATTAAAATAACAACAATCATGATAATCATCATAAAATGAAAATAATAACAATCATGATAATAATAATAATGATGATAATGATGATAATAATGATGATAATTAATGATGATAATAATAAATGATAATAATGATAATAATAACAATGCTGCTGCTGATGATGACGATGATAATATACAATAAAAAAGACAATGAAAATAAGAATGATTAAGATAAAGTAACAATGCTAATAAAAGTATGTAGTAATGATGATAGTAATAATAAAAACAATAACAGTAATTATAATGATGATACAATATGATAGTATAATAATAATGATAATGATAGTAATAATAATAATGATATTGATAATAATAATGATAATAGTAATTATAAAAGTAAAAAGAATAACAGCAATGATAATAACAATAATAATGATAATGATTATGATAATAATGATAATGATCATAATAAAGATAATAATGACAATAATAACAAAAATATAAAAGATGATACTGAGTTAATGATGATAATAATAATTATTATAAAATGGAATTAATTGCAATGATGATAATAACAACAATAATATAATAATAATAATAATATAATAATAATGTGAGTAATAATATATAAATAATATAATAATAATAATAATAATAATATAATAATAATAATAATAATAATAATAATAATATAATAATAATAATAATGATAATATATAATAATATATGATGATAATTGAATGATAATGATAATGATATTAATAATAATGATGATAATGATAATAATATAATAATAATAATAATGATAATAATAATAATAATAATATAATAATATAATAATAATAATAATAATAATAATAATAATAATAATAATAATAATAATAATAACAACAAACATAATAACAATCATAATAATAACGATAATA